GGTGAAAAAAATTGTATAATTTGCGATCTAAGAGCACCTGCACATTCCATGTGATTCCTATTACGCACAAGCTTTCGTACCAATAGGCCAAGGCCAGTCTTGAATTTGATCTCGTCAATACTTTTCTTGCAACACAATTTTCTTGAACACTCCAAGAACTTTACAAGGCATCTTGATCCTTAATACTTTGTTGGAATAGTATATGGTTGTATCAAGAATTGAGGCCGGGTGTTGAACTCAAACATTTTTCCTCTTTCCGATTTTGTAAATTTCAAAACAATGTGCAAATTAAAATGCAGGGAGGCAGATTCAGAGCTGGACAATCAAGGATGTTTATGGTTTTGTATACATGTATTATACTGGTTTTGATAATTCTTAATAAATATTTTGATATAAAGAACGGTATATAATATTCAAAGAACTATATGCGGTATATTGCATTTATTTGCCGCCACAAAAGTCAAATTTTGAAAACTTCCTGAAATGTGCTGAATTCATTAAATTGTATGAGAAGTATAAATTAACAGAAAATATTATAGTTTCAAAGCAGTGTATTCACAATTTTTGATTTTATGACGTCACAAACTAGTCCGATTTTATGCCCTTTTTCAGAAAGAGGACAAAATGGACAAAATTTCAACAATTTTAGCTTTAAAATTTATAGAGAGCATGTGTGTTCGGGAACAATATTGACATATTTCATTGATATTATCATTCTACACATTATATCAAAATATTGATCCTGAACACACATGCGCTCGGTAACTTTTACTTAAAATATCGATGAAATATATATTTTTTTCTGTAAAATTCATAAAAAACTGAAATTTCCGTCATGTTTGTGATGTCATTGTGTACATATGACGTCATTACTTATGAAAATATTCAGTGCTTTGAAGTCAGCATATACTCCCCTGTTTAAGAACTTAATTAAATAAATCTCTTTGATTTTTGGGGGCAAATAATGGTTATTACCGAATAAAGTTCTTTATGTGATCCTAGCTCTTTGATTGGATGTGGTCCATCATTTCAAAAATCTTATGCTAAGTTATAATGCACTAGATTTTCCACGAAAACATTAACTTTTTTCTACACTGCATGGACTAAACGTAAATCAAAATTTTCCAACAACTGATATGATTTAGCAACCCTTGAACTTCAATGTTCACTCGTCTTTGGGCTCGGGGAATACTGCTCTTATCACATTGTCCTCTAAGTATAGGTTACATCATAGATGCCGAGTAGTACTGATTCTCATGGGGCGTGGAAATCGAGGGCGCGGAGCTCCCCCGATTTCGAAGCCCCTTGAAAAAGATAAAACCAATACATCCCTACTAATGTGTTCGGAAATTTTTTTTTCGGTGCTCTGCAATCTATGAAACCCGGTAAGTTCAGCAGCTCTGGCAGTGGTTCTGGCGAGAGTTAGCGAGACCACAGTGAGATACATGTAGGTTAAGTTATTTACGGAAATGTGGCTAGGAAGTGACTAGCACGTGGATACATGGTAAACAGAAAAGTTATTTTGCGTTTTAGTTTTCACCACCTTTAATATCATTCTGTAGAAATGTACTTCAATCAGTCTCTCTTGAATTCATTCAAATTTAAATTATAAGTATTTTCTATTATACAATTTTCTGCTGTCATAAATTAAATTTTCTTTTTGGACAAATATTTTGGCATGGGAATCAGGACTATAGTTTTTGGCGTCATATTAGCAAATCAGGCACCAATGTGACTTTAACTGACAAATCTGTTGAATGAGAATTGCATTATGTCTTACTACGAAAAGTACAGGAATTTTACGCTTGATAAATTCCTTTATTATACTATCGGTGAATACAATTGTCAGGTGGATTCCCTGACCAAATACGTGTTCACGAGTATATTTAATTTATGTAAAACATGTTTTGTCCATTTAAATGCATACGAGAAGCTGCTCGTTGTCCTTACCCTTAAAGTGCTGGTGTTCTTAACTTGACACTAACTACATATACATTTTATTAAACATATTTTTTCGAGATAACAACAAATTGAAAACGCCTGTGATATTATTAATAGTTTCTAATCTTTGCACTTTGTTCATAAGAACATTTTGCATTCGACTGACATGATCATAGATTGACCTTGACCATGTGTTTGAAGTAAAATGTAAACATGCAATTGGCGTAAACGTTTTCAATCAACAATTGGTCAATTGCTTGTGGTTAGATCCTCTGTGCACATCAATAACAATAGCTATATAAGGCAAACAAAGGTATGTCAGTGTAGATGATATTACACATTATTTTTAGCAGCGTATCGGTCGCAAGTGAGCTTTAATTTTTGCAATAAACTATGAATAGATATATTGTTATTTAATCCCCCCTTTAGCCACCCCTTTCTGTTGAAAATCATGAAAGTTTTTCAGAGAGGTCTTGAAACACATTTTTTACAGTACATATGTTCAAAAGAAACAGACAATAACACGTACAATTCCCTGTTTACTGCCAATTTTATTTATAAAACAGGTTCTACCCTATAACTTTTGAAAAGGTAAACCTAAACCACGTGTCTTGATTTTAAATCACAATAACAATAGTAGGGGTGAATAGTACGAGGCAATCTATGATGTAAGCAACTTGTCGCTTGTCTGATGACGAAACTTCATTGAGAGTGTCAAAATTCAATAGAAAAAAAAATATTGACCCGATTTCTGCCTCCTGCAGTGATATATGAGGGGGCGTGGAAAGTATTATCGCATATGTGATATGGGATATATCACCGCAGAAAGATCAAAGAAAATAACCGCAGATATGCAATTAGTGTGTCATATTATTGACTTTTTATATTAAGAAGCATGGTTAGACAGGTAATATATAAAAGTTCTTCGTAGATGTCGTCAAAATATTATTTTAATAATAAAAGTAATGAATCAAAGATCCATGTCATAACAATTATAAGTCGTTAATAACAATATCCTCAAAAACAATTTATTGCCCCGCGGGGATCAGGGTTTAAATAGGTCCTCAGTACTCCCTTGCTTGTCGTAAAAGGCGACTAAATTGGGCGGTCCTTCGGATGAGACCGTATAAACCTAGGCCCCGTGTCACAGCAAGTGTGGCACGATAAAGATCACTCCCTGATCAAAGGCCGTAAGTGCCGAGCATAGGCCTAAATTTGCAGCCCTTCACCGGCAATGGTGACGTATCCATAGCAGTGAAATATTCTGGAGAGGGACGTTTAACAGTATACAATCAATCAATCAAAATTTTATTGAATATTTAAATATTATTTTGCTGATTGAAAAATGCAAAATGAAATTAATTTCCTTTAATTATATGTACAACAAATCAGCATTGAGCAGTTTGAGTATTTTATGACGTATGTCCATTGGCCATTTTGAATCGCTATTTTGAGCTAATAAACACAACTTTAAAAATTAAAAGACTAAATTTTACAAATTAAGGTGATAAACTGACAATATTAGTGTTTTATTATCATTGTCGTAGTATCATTACGTCCAGTAAGATTAAAACATCCTTTCGCCTATTTGAACGATATTAAGAAATAATTAGAATAAATGGATATCCACCATTTTGAATCGCTATTTAGACCAATAGCGTACAGCTGCAACATCATTCAGTAGTAAAAATGTGAGATGCAGAGGAAAAAATATCAATCTGCAGTGTATGGATATTTGCCAATGGAAAATTTTGAACAACGCAGAATATAAAAACAATAGACAAATAAATCAGAGAAAATTCGAAGTAAGTGTAGAAAACGACTAAATTTGTAATACTTTTAGTATTCTTTTATCATTTTATATTTGCATTAAATTCAGTGAGGTATTCACATACATATTTTTCTCGTTTGAACAACATTCAGAAAGAATCAGGAAAATTGAATGTTCGCCATATTGAATCGCCATTTTGACCTTCTTAAGGCCATTTTCATGAAGGCAAGCATATTTTTCGGATTCAGCATACCCGAAATAGGTTTAAAAACTACAGTATGCTGAACCAAATTATAATTATTTGCCGCTAGAACATATTTCTTGCCTTCTTTTTAAAAATTAGGACCAAACTAAAAGAAACATAAGCTAGTTTATCACATTTCATAAGTCGTAAGTCTGTCCCAGATATATATTAATGCAATTAGTATTTGACCGCCTAAATACCCACCAAATTTCTTACTTTTTTCCATAATCATCTAACACTAAAACACCTTCAATTCCCTTAATGGATAAAAAGTCTGTAAAACAGGTTGTTTTGTATTGCCACTTTTGTGACGTTTAATGAAAATGCTCAAAATATTATCAACAATCATGACACAAAAAAAGAAAATGAGAAGTAAACCAATTTTTTAAAGGGAGATAACTCAAAATGATAATTATAATAACACAAACAACTTCTTAATCGAAAAATCACGACAAGGGGTCTAAATACGCCACTGACTTGACCACATAACGGAAAGTTAAGACCCATAAAGAGAAAATAAACTTCAAACATAAATCATACCAGAATTGAGTGAAATTTACAGAAACTGCACTGGCACTGGGAATAAACATATGTCCAGTAATGCAACAACGCATTGATCAGCTGTTTATTTGTCCATGAGACATGTAGGACAAAATAATTATCTTTTGATCTTTGACCACAATTCGGATTAAATTTATTTATGTTTTGTGAGGGATAAACATATGCTCCATCAAAAAAAGATGAGAGTTTTTAGTAGCTGAGTTTCACTGTTCAGAGTATTAACAATTGACTCAGAGACTGGTGAGCTTAATCAGATACATATTCACAAAGCTCGACAATCCTCACTCTCTTTTAACAAGGTCTAAAGCCTAGGTGTATAGTCTTTATTTTTGCAACAATTAAGCAATCATAATTTTCCATGTAGTTCGACATTTTCTAACCCTATATTTAAAGGATTTACAGGTTTGCAATAATCTTCAGCATACAAACTGATTGAACACAGAAACCATTAAAATAGGCCCTTATATATACATTTTTCTCACAATATCATTACAAGTGCAGACAAAATGTTAAGATCAATTTATATTTATAATTGTTGATATTTTTTATCATTATTTAAACACCACGTGAAGATAAGAGTCATTATTTCCTCCATCCACTTCTTTTTTAATCATTGCACTATTAAGTGAGACGTTTTCATCTGAAGAGACGGAAGAGCAGGGGTCCCCATAACATTCGTCACTAGTATGATCTTCAAAATCTGTGCATGAATGTTTTTGTTCAAATGTTACATTCTCCTCCACTTTGAGTTTGCTTAAAGGCTCTCTTACAGATAATTTTTCTAGGTTTTCCGCCTTTGGGAATAATTTGTGGTTTTCATCTTTCGTTTTTGTGTCTGACTTTTCCTTTCCTGAAATTGGGGATAAGTAACAATCCTTCATATCTGGTAATGGTTCCAATATCTTATTTGTAGACTTCTTGTTTATTTCATCGGAAACATTAAGTATTCCCAAGTACTGGTCGATTTCTTGATATTCAGGTTCATTACTCTGATAATCACCTTCGACATCTCTGTGATTATTTATATCTCCATAACCTGTAGATTTCTGGCTTGACATTCTTCCTCGTCTAGATTTTGAACGTAATTGAATTACTACAACTATGAAGAGTAAGACTATAACTATCCCCATGAAGATCAGTAAATACGTATTCAGCTGTCCCTTTGAAGCGCTTGGAACATGTTTGACAGACATAGTAGCTGATGCAGTTGTGCTGCTAAAATTTGTATTCAGTGCAATTGTAAAACCAGAGAAAAAAAGTTGTGTGGTATTTACTGAGATATTAAATATCGTCGCTCGTGATTCAATGTTTGTGACAGTAACATCTACAAAAAAATTAGAAATATTATGTTATGTTAAACTTTTAAAATTTTCTTGAAGGAAGCAAATGCATAAATTCATAAAAATGTATTTGGAATACTTTGCATTTGTCTCTGTCAAATACCTTAAAAATCTGCAACATATTTTACATATAACAATTAATTGATTTATTAATTTACTTCTTTAAAAAAACATATTTGAAGTTTTTGCTGTTTGTATTAGAAAAACAAGAGATTGATATCAGATATCGTGTATATGTACTAGAAGGATGACTTTATTTAATTTCACCTTTCTTTTTGAGGACACAGCCTCTCACGGGATCACATTCTTCAAAGCTGCACACAGAAGCACATTGTCCACCACAATATTCCCCGAACGTTCCAGGGGGACAAGGATCCTCACAAAAATCACCGAAGAATCCTGGTGCACAAGCTATTAAATTTGGTATTAAAAAATACGGATAAACAATACAAAAAGAAATCAGTAATATTTTTTCAGATGCAATGCACTTTATTTTTTTTTTTTTGTTTTTTTGTTTTTTTTTTTTTTGGAGAATAATTACTTAAAAAGCAAACTTTGCAATTGAAAAGTTTCTGAGAATTATTGACGTATTACTGAAATATTTCCTTTATTTGTTTTTATATGAGATATAGTACTCCTGAATCTCCGCGTCATAGCAATTAATATTTTGGTATGGAGTGAAAAAGCCTCTTTGCAAAATAGATACAGGAAGTATATATAATATTGTTCTGTTTTTATGGATTATCGTATAAAAATCAAATTCAAATCAATTGTTAGAAATTTTACATGTAAACATATCTGAAAATGATATATCATTTAGAGGAAATTTCTCATTAGAAAGATATTTATTATTACATCATAATTGAAGTCCAGTTCCTCTTAATTAGATGTATAATAAATAAAATAATGAACTTCATAAACAAAATCAATGGTGCTTCCTGCTTTTTGAGATTTTACCACTAAATAAAGATCGTGAATGATATCTTTCCTATTTCGTGTGATACATTATAGAAGGATATTTTGTATAAAAATGTTTCTTTTGCGAAGTACGTGTTAAATTTATGTGCTATAAAGCATTAAAGATATTAAAATAATTATATTTTAGCGGGTTTTCTTGGCGGGTGTAAAATGTAGTGTTTTGCCTGCTCAAAGGTATGCCAATAATATTGACGTTATCTATTTTAGAGGATGCAGGGTCTCAGATCTTTGCAGATGGACTCTAAGAAGAGTGCCGACTATTTTAGCGATCAAAATTTAGGCGGACTATCATAAAAATGCAAAATATGTCAAAATTAGCACCCCACTAAATTGACCCGCTATACGGTATATAAAATATATATGCAACACTGAAAAAATTAAAACATCAACAAAGCAAAGAAACAGAATTGCAATCTCAAAAACATATAAGGTCATAAAAATAATTCTTGTCCTTGAAGAAAGGGAGACAAACAATGATATATTATCTTAACGTTTTGATTTAAATTTTAAGATGTACATGTTAAATTCAACTTGAATATTGAAATTCAACATCTGTTCTTCCAGACACGCAGAAGACATGGAATTAAATTTCTAAAATATATACAGTTTGACTTTAAAATATCTTGAACTTACAACCGCATTCTCCTCTTTCGTTTCTGTAGTAATTTGCACAGCAAACAATAGTTCCTGTGATTGAGCTAATGTAGAAAACAAAATACGACAGCATTTCGGAAAAGAGAACTAGTTACTTAGCCATTGTTAAATTATGTATGAATCACAAGAGGACATTTTCTTAGTTGAATCTATTTATATTTACGAGGGCTGTTCAATAAATAATGTCCTGAACTGTATGACATACAATACAGATATCATATGACATTAAAATTGGCTTTCTCTCATAATTGAATCTTTAATGAATTTATAACAGTTCATGTGACCACTTTTCATCACATAGTTTCATTGTGAGAAGCTGGGAAACAAGGGCTATTCGAGACACTGCATTATAAATGAATGGTAAAGAATCGGTAAACTAGAGTGAAAATAAAGCTTCAAAAAGCTGCTAAAAAACTGGTTAAAAATCCCAAAGAAATATTCACTGAAATGTGTGACATTTACAGCAACCAATATCTGTTTTATAGACAAATGAGAGCAGGTGGATTTCAATGATAAAAAATTGTATAATGGGCATCAAAAATGGGTATCGTCCTTGCCAACAAAAACTACAACACTTATGTACTGTTTGCCAAATTTCAACAAATAATACTTGATGAGGTAGGATTGACTTTAAGACACATAGCAAATTTGATTGACATCACATCGGGGGTAGTTTACCCTGTATTTAAGAAACATTTGACGATGAAAAAGCTTAGTACTCAAAGGTCACCCTATATTTTGAAAAATGAGTGAAAACGGCAGCGTATACAAATGTCTTAACAATTATTTTAAAATATCAGTAATTGGAGTTATCCACGTTTTTTGGAACTTGAATCTATTGCTTAAAATCCTCAAACCAAAATTTACCATAAGATGTACTTGACAAAAACAGCGAAGGTCTGAAAAGAGCAAAGAATTGCAAGAGCACAAAGACAGATTTATATGCAATGTTCTTAAATATTAGTGGTATTGTTGTTTAAATTCGTATTCGGGGAGACAGTTTAATTTCTGCATGAGGGTAGAAAACAATTTTTTTGCAAAAAAATCGAAAGGTTTATTAGAGGAAGGACCCAGAATCAGGAATACACTACATTAAATTTCTTCATGACAGCGTCCAAACCCGCACGCCCTGAAGAGTAAAGGGGTTTTACGGATACACAGATGGTTAATATTTTTTTCATATTAACAATATTCGCCAGATCTTTGACCTTTTGACTTATTTCTATTTCCAAACTTGAAAAAAACACCTTTCATAAGGAAGAAACAAGCCCATGAAATCATTGGATCTGCCATTTTCCAGTATACCAAGGGTCATACCCAAAACTGAGTTCTAAAATCAATCAGAAATTAAATAAAAAAGGTTACGGACATGTGTTGTAATAAAAAGAGATTTATAAGTATAATAATGAAGAGTAAATTATTGAAAAGCGTCTTTTGCTTCTTTTTGAGCACCGAGGACATTATTAATTGAACAGCCCTCGTATATTATATAACAACATTTAATACTGAACGATTACAATTAAAAACAATAATAGAAGTTATACATTTTTTAAAATTATCTCTAAGCTTAAGATTATTCTGAAGGAAGAAAAATGAAATACCTGTTGTCAATACAAACATGTGGATCCATGTTGGTGAAAGATAAAAATAGGGCAGAAAATGCCACAACTTTAAAATAAAGACCGTACAGAAACATTTTCAATTCAATAATCTGCGTATTGTATTGTCCCAAAATACTAAATAGCTTTCATAACAGGAAGTTAAACTTAATTTGAATAAAGATCTCTTACAATTATTTCCTAGAGATTATCCTTAAAATATTTGACGAATTTATGCACATTAAACAATTAGAAGACATTTTTAAATTCTATTCATTTGGTCAGCTTCTTTGAAACTCTCTAACATTCTGGTTAACTAGTATACATGTATGAAAAGTGGAATTTATTTTACAGTGATATTTTTTCTCAGTGTTTAATTGAATTGAACATACAGTATGACTCTGAAGTATTTAGCATTTCTGCATGTTTTCATAAGGATTCGATATCAACTGATCTTGCATATATATCAATATGTATCAGATACTAAAAAAATAAACATCTACCTTTAAAAAGTGCATGTACAGGAAAATACTGAAGTTAACAATATCAAATCAATAATTTTTGCTTGGATAAATTAGAGATATATAAACAGAAAATGATTATATGTCTTCCCGATATTGTCAATAATTCAAATTTACATATTCTTCAACTATCTAAACAAATCCATAAGAACTTAGAAAATTTGATTTAACAAATTATGGTGAACAGTTAAAGGTTTCTTTTTAGAATTACATGTATAAGCATATTCATGAATTAAATGTTTGAGCACCAATTTTGCAGTAGTTTTATGTTTGTACATGTATATATGTACCATTTTTTTTCATTTTGGTTGTAGATTGATGGATTAATTGTTGTTTGTTTAATTTCGAACAAATATCCTTATACGGTAAATAAATGATATTCATGATCCACTGTGTTTACATCAATATCACATGCACTATACGTAAAATGATTGGAATAATAACATTCTTAAACATACACAGCGAGCACTTTATTCACTACTCTCGCTGTCATCTCCGTGACCGTATGGTAAGAGCGTTTGCATTTGAATCGTGGAGTTGATCCATACGTCGCCGGTTTGAATTCTAACACTGAATGTGGGTATGTACTGAACATCGAGACCCGTATTGGAGTCGGTGTTGCTCAGTAAGATCCCTAAATGCTTAAATGCCTTGAATACGTATATATAAAGTCTGTTTTGTAACCTAACAGCGTCAAATTGTGAAGTCTCCATATGAGTGAAAATGAGGAAGACGTAAAGCAAGAATCAGATATCATTTTTTCTTTCTCACCCTTTGGTAGACGGTATGGTGCTCGCTCCATGATCGTACGGTTTTGATTTGGATTCTTGGCCGACTGACCTGTAAGTCGATAAAAAATGGGTAGCAACTGTTTATTCGTCATGCGCTCGGCATTCTGAAGTCCCATTTCATGACAGGCGTTGAAACGATAAAGCTCTCTCAATGGCCGTAAGTGCCGAGAAAAAGTCAAAATTGGAAGTCTGCCTTTTTATCAACTCAAAACAGTAAATTACAATCTTTATGGCTTCAATACAGAATTAATCACTATATACTGACAACCAATTGTCTTATGTTTAAAATAGGTAAAACAGACTCTAACCTATGTACATTTTGTGAAGCAGAGGAAGAAACAATATTTCATTTCATTTGGCAATGTCCAGTTGTAAAACAATTTCTAGATGGTTTTGTTAGACAATGTTATCGAAAAGACATTGTATTAAATCTAGATGGTAAAACTTTTATACTTGGAGATATAAGTAAAACAATATCATCAAAATCATTAAATATTTTGCTTATGTCAATGAAACAATATATTTACAGAGTTCGTTGTCAACACCTCAGCCTCTCTAGCCATGGTATTCGGAATGAATTCAAAATTATTTATAAAACATTGAAATATACAGATAGAGCAAGTGATAAAATAAATGGCACTTCATACTCTCAGATTAATATCAATAAACCCTGTCTCAAAACTAGTTAAGATCTTCCATTCCCAACGGAAGACCTTCTATTGATTCTGTTGGTAAAGATTATTAAGGTCTTCCGTCTTCAGCGAAAGACCTTATTGTTTTTCTTAGGTTTCTTTTCCACTATTTTTATTTTTTTTTCTTACCGATTTTGTTCGCGCGATTTCTCGAGAATGGCTCGATCAATTTTCATGAAACTTTCAGGCCTGATAGAACATTAAAAAAGTCTAGATATATATTTTTTATTTTGATGACGTCACTTCCGGTTCGGAGTTTTCTGCGATTTAGTGATTTTTAGAGGGTCACTTTGTCCGGCAGTTTTCTCAAAAAGCACTAAACACAGAAGCATGAATTTTTCAGTGATGCTAGAGCAACTTTTGGAGAAGTGCTCTTTGTATATCACAACTACAGAAAGTACGATGCGCCGACGCTCGCTATGGCCCGAAAATAGTCCTATCAAGAATTTCAAAATTTAGCACCTTCTCTACGATAACTTTTTACCTAGAAATATTTTGTTAAAGCATGTAGAACAAAAAAGGTGTAGAATTCCAAGATCTTCCAAATGACATCTCAAAAAAAGGGCTGGTCCCTTAAATTAGGGGGCTAGAGGGGCCGAAAGTTCTTTATATCTCAAAAAGTATTGAGAATTTATAATACGTCAAAGAAGCGAAGTTGTTCAAAACGTCAAGCTTAATCTATTGGATTCGTCAAAGTACGTCCGACGTCTCAGTTCCGGCCAAACCGGAAGTTGTCGGAAAACGCGTACTTTTGCCGTTCTTGCCGTTTTTTTTTTAAGAAAATATGTCTCTGGGAGCATTAAAATTAATTTTCCGTCCGTCGTCGTCACTTCCGGTCAAACCGGAAGTAGCAAAAATGGCTTATTTTTGCATTAACATGGATTTTGAGGATTCAAACCATTTTTGGGGCATTATTTTTCATTTTTGTTAAAAATGAAAGCTACTTCCTGTCAAACATGACGGAAGAACTACTTGTTGCTTTGCAACGAGCTTTGCTCTAGTTATTCTTTTTTTCTACTTCCTAGACGCCAACTTTGAAGCCTCATATCTCACTCTTTTCTCAATTGATTTTGCTCAAATTTTCAGAGGTAATAGAAGTTACTAAACTCTATCTGAATGCTGTCTAAAATTTCAAAAAATCACTTCCGGTTTTGAGTTATTTCCCTTTAAACGAAAATTTATTGGCTTTCGTTTCCAGACAAAGGCTCAGAGACGGCTAAAGCTGGGCCAGAAATTCTACTGATTTTCGATAATAGAAGGATTGAAGTTGTTTTTGTTTTTCGATTTCTCTATTCAAAATGGCGCTATATATGGGTCAAAAATTAGAACGCTTAAAAGAGCCAAAAATTACTCATATTTTGCTTTTTATCTTCTAAACTAAAAATACTTTGTTAAAATATATAAAACATAACTTGTGCAGAATTAGAAGATCTTTCAAATGACATCTCGGAAAAAGGGCTGACCCCTAAATTTAGGGAACTAGAGGGGCCAAAAAAATTTCCAGATATCTCAGAAAGTATTGAGAATTTGCTATACATCAAAGAAGGAAAGTTATTGGAAATCTCTGGTAAAATCTACTGATGTCATCAAAATATGTCTTGTGACGTCATTTCCGGCCAAACTGGAAGTAGATCGAAACTGAATATTTTTGCCGTTTTTGACATGTTTTGGGGAAATGTTTGTCACTGGAAGCATAAAACTTAATTTTACGTCCGTCGACGTCACTTCCGGTCAAACAGGAAGTATCAAAAATGGCTTACTTTTGCAATTTTCAACATAGATTTTGAAGATTTAAATCATTAGAGACATCATTTCTCTCTCTTTTTTGAAACAAAAGTTACTTCCGGTCAAACAGGACAGAAGAGCTAGAGCTTTGCTCTAGTTTTGCTACCTGCTCTATCGATCACCCACTTTCTTTTATAACATCATCTCTTCCTCTTTATTTCTCTTGCATTCTCTTTCTTTCTCTCTCTCTCTCTCTCTCTCTCTCTCTCTCTCTCTCTCTCTCTCTCTCTCTCTCTCTCTCTCTCTCTCTCTCTCTCTCTCTTTCTCTCCCTTTCAAAAAATGAATGCTGCAATGAAATATTGTGTTCATCTTATATGTTTGTACTATATAGCATTGTGGAAATCAAATAAAAAAAAACAAATTGGAAGTCCTGCACAGGTATACGGTGATATTACTATATCAGTGAAAATTCTCGAAGGGTATGCAAACAACATATAATCAAGCAATCTTTGCCTTCTTTCATATAATTTAAGGTAGAAAACAATCTATTAATATTTTAATTTTCTCAACTGGTCGAGACACTTTAGGTCAGCATAAATTTGCAGGTAAATAAGCTATCTGTTTACTTTACCTACTGCTGAATGAGCCGCAATGCATTGTGGGCTACTACAAATACCCAACTGTGTTAAAAATAAAGGGCAACTTGAATTGTCCCTTGGAAATTATATTCAATTCTTTTTTTTGAGATGTGTGATAGAATTATTTAAAATGGTATATAGTCTTTCATTTCTATGCTCACATTTACAAAATTTGCTATATAAAGCCTTTTATTATATACCCATCAATTTCCTTGTTTTTGTTACTATTAATTTTACAGAGTTTGATCCGATTTTCCAGATCACCACACTGTGGTTTTCTGAATCCATATCACCACTCTCTGAAACTGATGACATCGTACGCAAAAACATGACGTTATTTTTCTTGCACGTTAAAAAGTCCCTTGTTATTATGCGTTGTTTTATGGATAAATATTATACAATTAATCGTTAAAGTTTTATTCTGCTATATTTTGCTAGTTATTATGGGGTATATAATAAATTCATCATTATAACAGTAACTTGATCCGAAGAGCCTTATCACGTCTCGTTGACAGGCGCGGATCATCAGGTCAAGCTCGACGCTTCGCGTCTCGTTAGATCTGATGATCCGCGCCTGTCAACTCGACGTGATACGACCCTTCGGATCAAGTTACTGTTATAAATATATATATATATATATATATATATATATATATATATATATATATATATATATATATATATATATATATATATATATATATCAACTTATAACACATCGGCCTAAACCAAAGAGACGTAGGTGCTACATATGTATATTGTGTCGATAAAACATTGAGTTTTTTCACGTGATACCGGGGTATATGTGTGCATAGTTTAAACAGGTAGTATATAGGTCCTTGGTTTTAGACAGCAGAAGAAGGTTAAATCATTATTTAACCCCTCAATATCATCAGAGTGTTTTGTGTACATGCAAAGGTCAAAGTGTTTGTACGGTATTGGAAGCAACTATAAATCATCTAAAACAACTCTAGTATTAATTTTGAGCTTGGAGCAATGTCTTTAGAATAATATAGTCTTTCAATTTCGGTCTTATAAAGCGATAAAGAAGCTCTACAGTTTTTCCAGCAATAAACCGACGAAAACCACGTGTCGCTATTGAAATGTAAACACGCAGTAGACTGTCATGCTTTGGAATTCATTCATTTGATTTGAGAACGGGTGTGACGGAGACAAAATTGTCTCGACTTGCTTAATATCATTTGACTATTTTAAATAAAAATTAAAACTAGAAATTTAAATGGTAATGTTTTGGATGTGATACACATGAACAGGTTTCCCATAAGTGCATGGGTAAAAAAAAATGTAAAATCATTGTTTTTTTAAAATAACTTTTGACGTTTTGACTTTTCCATTAATTTTCAAATGAAAATTATGTTATTAGACAACAAAGAATTTTTCTTTTGATTTTCAAAAGACAATGATATAATTATTAGATGTATGATAACAATTAATTAAGGATTCACATATGATCCAGATTTATAAGGAATATATGTGTGCTACTTAATAAAATGACAAAAATAGCCATGCTATAAAAATATTTTTATGCAAATACACAGGTATACATCCGTCTTGATCCTATTCACAAATAGTTGTTCCATAAGATTTATCTTTCTTGGAACTGGGTCACACATTTATACAGTGTATTGTGTTATTGTTAATTTGTAATGTATGTTTATTAAGCGTGTTGGCTTTCCTTCTATAAAAGGATTCATACATTTCGTATTACTAAGCAAAAAGCATTTATCTCAAAATCAGAACATTGGTTCAAGTCAAAGATTTACGTGTATGTATAAAATATTGACTTAATTTACAGTCAGTCTCTTTCTGGTTTAGAAAAAGATACATGGTTATTTCAGCTGAACTTTAAGATATCTATTATATTTTTTCTTTCAAAATTGACATATTATTGCTCATCTGGTAATTGGTACCACTCTTGCTATTGAATTGATCAACTAAATAAGAAAACGTCTTCATCAAGCAATAATTTAGGTTCTTAACTACAGAATCACAATTTTACAACTGTCCAGTGCTTTGATTTTTTTTTTACAAAATAAGGGGCCAGAATCGCTTTTAATTGCGTTTATTGCTTTAAACATTTTTTTTTCTAGAAGTTATTTCTAAATCTTAATTTAGAATGAAAGGATGGAAAGGTCTACACCCCGTTTTGCTACAGTAGAGACAGTTTCTTACAGCTCAATATAACAAATTTCTAGTCGGAAATAGATTTCCCCTTCCTCTTTTTGAAAAGGTGCATGGACACAGATTTAAAGTTAATATTTCCTGCATAACATTACGACTTATGTATCTTAATAGCATTTCACACAAAATATATTAAAAATTTTATTTCATCTGCAAGTTATTAAAACTTTGAGATTTTTAGACAGGTTTGATTGACACATCCTTGCACTCTCACAAATCTAAATTTTATTCTTAATACTTAGGAAAAGTGGCAATCTTTTATTGTATAAATGAAAAATTTCACAACTTTAATCCAAAAAATTCAGAGTAGAAATGTTCGAAAGAAAAACATACACGCAGTATATTGTCAGTCCGAGCAGTTGTGGTGAGCAGACTATAACAATTGAATGCACCCAGTGATTCGTAAACATCAATTACAATAACAGTGCTCGTGCCCTGTTTACAAAAACTGTGTACGTTTCACGGGTGTGATCATTTTACTAACTCTGTACACAACACTTAGCAAGGATGACAATACTTGTGAAGGGGTTTTGCTTTCTAACATTTCAACTCTGAATATATTTATTTTTCTGGATTGTCAATCAAACCCATCCAAAAATTTGAAGTTTCAATAACTTTAAGAGGAAATAAAATCTTTAATATACTGCTGTTTGAAATGCTATTAAAATATGACCGATGGCGCGTTAAACCACGGCTTTGCTAAAATAAGACTCGTACTTCTTTTATGATAGCATAAAGGTACATAAACTATATATTATCTTTTTGGATTCTCTACTTTTATACTATGTAAAAAGTTTTACTTATGTCGGTAATAAATAAATTTCACGTTTGTAAACAGGCATGAATTTTTGTTGAGTATATGAATAGTCATGAAATATTAACTCTAGGAAATTCCCTACAAAATAGTGTGCATTATGCCTAGCTTTCTCCTTGGATAAAAAAGCAGTAAATAATTTGATAACGATATGTCAAAAGGTCTTCAATATCACGTTAATGCACCGAAAGAAAAGTGTTATAGAATAAATTTTACTACATAATTTAAAAAAAAATGCAAACATGCAAATATATGGAACGCCGTCACTGCCTTATAGCTAGAACTTATAGCTTATAACTAGAATTACATTGTGTCAACCTTCCATTACATTATATCAACTCTTTATGACATTAACCCACACTACTATTGCATTGTGTCAACCTTCCATTACATTATGTCAACTCTATGACATTAACCCACACTACTATTGCATTGTCTCAACCTTCCATTACATTATGTCATCTCTTTGTGACATTTATTAACACTACTATTGCATTATCTCAACTTTCCTTTACATTAGGTCAACTCTTTATGACATTTACACACGCTACTATTACATTGCGACAACTTTCTTTTACATTACATTAACTTTTTATGACATTTACTAACACTTCAATTATATTGAGTCAATCTTTCATTGCATTATATCAGCTCTTTGTGACATTATGTCAAAAGATTTTAATGTGGTGTTAAGATACATTTATATAATTTCAACTTAGTATTACATTATGTGCACTCTCTACTATTTGGTCTAAGTAGTTCATTACCTGATGTGAATTTATCTTTATTTGATATCAAGTCGCTATAATACGATGTCAGAATTTCATTACATGATGTCAAAAAATTGTCACATGTGGTCAATTCTTTTACTACATTATATCATCAATATGCTACATGACGACGTGAATCAATTTCATGATGTGAATTTGCCCTTACTTTTTAACAAATTGTTATTACGTTATGTCATTGTGTCTTTACATTGTGTCAAAAATGCTTAGCCTCTTGTCAGCATACGTATATCTTAGGCTATTTCATATTGATCAGATGTGGAAAGCTCATGTCATACTGTGCGCCCTTTCTACATTATGTCGATTCACTATTACATTATGCGAACACGGGTATCCTCGGCCTTTATATGCACATAACGTATTTTCCGGGTTCCGCAGGCACTAGAAATGGCGGGAAAGAAAACAGTCGTAGAAGAAAGTCTCGGCGATTTGGGAATGGCATATTTAAATGAAAACGTAAAGCGACAAATGATTGACAATCTTGAAACGTGCAGCGCTGCGACTGTGAATTAATTTCAATGGCGTTTACTTTAATCTGATAATTAAATAAATAAAATATTATGAGTCGAGCAGCATTTTTTTTAATTTTCATATTGAATTTTTTTTTCAATAGAAGTCTTAAACTTCTTATCTTATTAAGAACATTGTCATATGTTTTTTTATCAGTCTCTACCTCTCTTTTTTATTTTAAATAGTGTTAACACACAGTATAACAAACGTGCAACGGTGGGTTGGGGGTTGGGGGCAGGAATCCCGTCCTTCCATCTTTAGTGACCAAAATATACATAAGATTAATAAATTTATTGGTTTTACTTTTTTACTTTGTAGGACATTGCTTAAGATTAGCTGAAATAAGTTGAAAACTTTTTTCTATAAAACTATAAAGCCTAAGAGCTTCTCTCCCCCCCCCCTTGGTCTCCAACCATATACCGTCCCCCTTCCTTGTTCAAGATTCCCATATCCGCCACTGATATGTGCCCATGCATGCTTGCTAAGGCATATTCAACTGATTTAGACTGACATATAGATTTTTGTAATAGAATTCTGGCACTGGAATTGTTGAAAAAATTACTAATTCTAGTGACGTAGCATCTTCTTTGAAAGGGGAGCCGAGGTCAGCCAGAAAAAAAAATTCTACTCGAAACAAAAAAAGTCCTAATTTTTTTTTCAAGTATACTACATTACCCGTAGTGGACTATACTTCAAGAAAAAGTGGGGATGGGGGTGTGCTTTCCATGAACATTACAGTTTCTATAGTAAAGTTATATGTGGGAAAAGAGGGGGGGCTGATATTATGTGCCTGAAATTCGTTCTAATCAATGAAGAGCCCCCCCCCCCCTTCTCTTACCAGTCATTAAAACACGGTCGTCAACATTCATTATATACCAGATATACAGCTTTGAGATAATGAAAATGTATTTTTACATCAGGTAATGAACTTTTGGAATCAACATGATGAAGAGTTAACACAATATAAAGATGTTTTTAAATCACATTAGAAAAGGTTGACATAACATAATTATATATCCACATCACGGAATGGAGTTTTGACATAATGTAATAAAGTGTTGATATAATATAAAGATATGTTCACATTATGTTATACACTTTTTACTCCACGTAATAAAGCACTGACATGAAGGTAAGATGTGTTCACCTAACATCATGATGCTCCCGACGTATAATAAAGATAAATCCATATCACGGAATAATGATTTGATATAATAGAAATATACACTCTCAAAAAGGAATGGATTTTTGACTTCATGTAATGATAAGTTTATTTATAAAACACAATTTGCTTGACGCAGTGCGATTTTGACCTCGCATATTAAAGAAATGAAATGATGTAAAGAAACATTCATTTTAAGTAATAAAGTTTTAACACAATGTAAACACATAATCACTTAACAAAATGGATTTTTTACTTCAAGTTATGAAGTGCTGACATAATAAAAGAATGTATTTACTTCATGTAATGCAGCATTGACATGATGTTATGATATTTTCACATCATATCATAAAAAATGACATTACGTAAAGATATGTTCACATCACGTAATGATAAATTGACATAATAAATGCATAGTTGTATGCTATAAGGCAGTGATGGCGTTCCATACAAATAATATATTTCTTTTATTATTCACTATTCTATACTGATCTCGCTTATTGCAGACTTGTCGGTATATATCAGCGCCTCGGGAAGAACAGATTATTTTTTCTTTGATTTGCGCAGGCACCTGATGAGCATGTACATATCCCCTATTAGACTTTTATACACGATAACGTAGTAAATATACATGAATTCCTGGTCTATCTAACCAATCCTTTGATTTTTGATATCATTTTCTATCTAGGCTAATTTTTTAGAGATTCTTACTTTACTGTATATAAACATTACTAGTTAGCATGTAAAAGGTTCACGTAAGCGGGGCTCTTAATTGTAGGAGTAGTTTGTAATATACTGGGTACATGTCGAAACGTAAAGAGACTATCTCTAAAATTTGACAAAAGCGGAAAATGATTATAAATATCGAAGTACGAGGGTTGTTGAAAAAGTTTGTGGACGATTTCTTACCCGTTATAATTATACGGAAGCCCATTTAGGGCCTGCCAAAAATATTTTTGAATTTGATATAACGAATTGCCGAAATTTTAATAACGAATTTAATTCGTTATAACAATTTCTTTGAATTCGTTATAATGAATTTAATTTGTTATAACAAATTTGCTGAATTCGTTATGTCGATTTCAAAAATTTGTTTATACGTATCAAACTCGTTTTAACAAATTCTAAAACTTGTTATAACGAATTGAATTCATTTAAACGAATTCTTTAGTTTGTTATAACGAATTATTCGTTAAAACGAATTCGACGAATCGTTATGTCGAATTTATATATAGGCCCTGCTTGTTGAATTTGCATAAACGAATTTCACTTGTTATAACAAATGTTAAAATCCTTTTAACGAATTAAATGTGATAACAAATTGAGGCATTTAAGAAATCGTTATATCTTAATTCAAAAGTCTAGGATTTTTTGTCGTTTTTGCTCCATTTTAAAGAGAATATGACTGTCGACATTATCATATATTTATTGCGTGTTGTTTGTGATTTAGTAAATTTTGACCTGCTCTGCGATCCTGCTTTTGCAGTCTTTAATTCTGAAAAGGTTCAAAATAAATAATAATAATAAAACACAATACAAAACCAAGTCATTTGGATTCATTGTTAAAATATTTCTACCAAACTTAGATAGCATATCACATTTGAGTTGGTACATTTAATCGAAAAAATATGACATATGTCTATAGTACTGTAAAGTTTATACAAAAAAAATTTCCCGAAAACAGTATCGCGGATATACATGTAATTATCCAAACTAAAAAAAAAACAACTTTGATTTACCATGGAGATCACTATGGAAAAAATTTGATTTACTATAGTGATAACTTTGAAGACTTTGATTTACTATAATAGTGAATCAATAAATTATCAAACCATAGAATGCAATTTGTTGTACTCGAAAGACAGATAACAATGAATAATTTTGAATTTGAAAAATATATTATATACACAATGTACTTTACCCAATTTACCCGATTTAACAATGCTCTAGGTTTTTTTTTTTGTCTTTCAGAACAAAATATGCCCTGAGAAATAACACCAATCACCAACTGCTTCTTGTCCATAGCTGGAGTAGGTTCTAATCCAGACCTTCTGATTGGCCTTCATTTGCACGACTGCCGAAGATGAACATTGATCATTCTCTTCCTCTATATCTACGCAATAGTTGGCACCCATGACTGTCCCTTCTCTTACAATCTGAGTGATGAAATATTTTTTCTGTCTTGCCAAAGTAGTCCAATCAAAATGGTATATTCCGTCGATAAGTGCTGTGAATTTGCCACTCGTTGAATTGTATGCGTTGCCTTCGTTCAAAAGCGTCTCCTCAAAAATTACTACTTGGTTTCCTGCCAGATTGTATTTTGAAGACGTCATCTTCGCATGAAAGGCCACAGTCGGTTTTAGTTGTTTTGATCCTAAAGATACAAAAGATATAAAATGTTCTTTTTTTTCCTTTTTCCGAAGACTAAGAATCCTGATTCGGTTGACCTAAATTGTTTCAAAAAAGTTTTGTCTCAGTGCTCAATATCATTTTATTCTTAAAAAAACGTTTATTATGGAGGAATCAAAATAACTGTACCTATAAATCCATATACGTACCTAACAAATACTAGTTACTTCATGTATATAACATCTGTTTGATTTGCGTGTTACGTAACAATATTACGAAACAATGGTTGCACACTACAATTAATTAACTTGCACCTTAATTGGCTCTCATGCTGCCTTAAATATTGAAATTGAGACTACTAAATGTTCCGTTTCATTTTTGAGAAGAATTATTCAAGATTTTTTTTCTACTTCATATGTGTTTTCAACACTACTTGGCTTATGATGTACATGTTAAAACAACATTTCTTGTTCAATATTTATATTTTCAATGTCTTTGTCGGAGATAAAATAACAAATTCTAAATGTACTCTATTTCCCCATCAATGTTTAAAAAAGTCACGTGCTGGGCGGGACAAATAGTTAGACAGAAACAGGGCTTAAAGCACGTGGATTGGCGGAATCAAAGCATGTAAATATAAGAATAACTGTCTTATTTTTCAATTTCATGACGATGATCAATCGATTGGCTTGCGTGATAATTTTATGCATAAACGCGTTTATGCAAATTATCAAGCAAGCCACTCGATTGATCAAATCATGAAATCGAAAAATACGACAGATATCGATATTCCTTAAATATCACTGTGCTAATTTGTTTTACCCTATAAGAAAGGGGAATTCATATGAATGAAATTTTAACAATATACATGTACTACTGTATAAGAATTGTTCAACATCAGCTTAAGTTTCGTAGACGATATTAATTCGTTCAATAGATTAAGAGCGGACACGGAATTATCAACTATCAGGATATAACCAAAAAAATATCAACAATATGTGGTATTATGAAGAGGATGGGGGGATAAGGCGGACGATGTGCCTATAATGCGACAGATATGATTTGAAAAATTTAAACTCAATTATATCTAAAGTTTTGTGTAATATTTTCACTCTAATGTTAAAGTATACATGTACTTAAATGCAAAATCTGTACAATTTTTTTTAAAAAAACTGACTGAAAAAAATTGCATACGAAAAGGGCATACACATTAAAAAGAACAAAAACGATAATTTTCTCATACTTTAACAATTTTTTTCCAATATGAGTGGGTCTTCACTCCATTTTTGAAAGACGATCCTAAAGGTTTGCAATAAAATATCCATTCTTTGGTTTACAAAAAACATGGAGCAAAGACCCATTTACCTTAAAAGCACACTTTTATAACAAAACGTTCGTATTTTTCCATGATATACCATTAAGTCAAGGGTCATATAACAAATATGAATTAAATGCCCAGAATCATCAAGAGCCATATAGCGTAGTGGCTAGCGCGTTAGTCTCAAAGCAGTATGATGCGTCGAATTTTTATTGCTAGGGATTCGTATCTCACAAATACCACCCAATAATTTTTATAAAGAATTTTTTTTTACGAAATTAAAGACTGATTACGAAATTTTTGTTTTCTCTAAGAAAAGGTTTTTCTCATAATTTCATAGATTTCAATAATGAGAAATTAATTTAAATGCTCCATTCACATCTTAATATCTGACGATATATATAGTATAGACATTCTGCCCGACAGTTCCCCTTTGATATTATACCGGTATGTCACTCTCTGAATGGAAAAATTAAATTTGATTCTCATTGAACAAAATTTGATATTTACAGTTAAAAAATCCTTCATTTGTAAACGAAGTACACAACATACGGGTTTTCGTTTATTTTTATCTATTTTCTTGGATCTTTTATTGCCCCCCGCTTTCGCGATAATGAGTGGACATAAAATCTCATTCCTCTATCCGTCCATAAGTAAGTCTTTAATTTGGCAAGAACTTTTGAATTAGAAGAGATATTTCATATGTATATTATCTTTGACAAGACCTTTCTAAATATACACCAAAATATTTTTTATACTCCATGACCTTGACCATTAGGCTTGACCTTTTTCAAAATGTTATCTGTCCGTAGGCCCATATAACTTTTGATAGAGAAGAGCTAGAACTTTCAAGTTTAACTTGTGCATTGCATTGCCTGTGACAAGATGTTTAATTTCCGACCATTCTATGATGTTTTGTCCCCTTGACACTTTAAAATTTTGTACCTCGTGACCTTGACCTTTAGACTTGACCTACTTTAAAGTGTAATCTGTTAGACTTATCACTTTTGACAGAGAAGAGCTAGGACTTTCAAGTTTGACTTGTGCATTGTCTGTAACAAGATGTTTCCGATCATGCTTTCATTTAGGTCCCCTTGACCTTTATGTTTGACCTAATATTGAAAAATGTTTTACATTGTCACTGGATATTTAACTTTTGAATGTCATATGATAGGACATACACAGTTGACAGGATCTGCCAAAAATAATGGTATCCAATGCATTATAACACCGAAATTAAGGCCTACAATTCGTTTCTCAATTTAAAGAATTTCCCGAAAAATATTTTCTTTCCAAAATTATTTCTAAAAATATTGGATTTTACTAAAGAAAAATGATAATTTACTGTCCAGTTACATTGCGTCACACTTTTTAAGAATCATATCTGAACACTACTTACTACTGAATTGGATATTTAGATATTTCCATTCTTTAATGACAAAGAGGTTTCCAGCAATGGTTAATTCACATTACATTATTTTTTTACCGACTTTTTTTTTATTTTTACAGTATCTAATTGAACTTAAACTGTATACAATTATTTGGAAATGGAAAATTCTCCAGTTGATTTTAGGTTCATTGGTTTTATGACTGTTAATCAAATTTTTGGATAGTAAAAAAAACGATTTATTATGCAAAACAATTCATCTATCCTTCTGTATTCAATAATTTAGAAGTGGAAAAGAATTACATTACAGATTATGATCATTTGTCAGATGATGAACAATATTCAAAGGGGACTTAACTTTAGATTCTGAAATAATTCCAGGCTTCCTAGAAAAAAAAAATATTGCCAAAGGTATGCATATATTTACCTTGCACAGCTTTATGAATCAGTTCGAAGAAGGAAAGATTTTTAGAAAGTTGTTCTTGTCGGATAAGCAGTTCATTGTTAAATATTTCCAGTGAACGATTCACCCTCTCATAGATTTCTTCACCCTTTTCCGCAAGAAGTTTAGCAATGTTATCCTCAGCCTGTGTGACATTTTTAAGCAATTGACCTACATTTTTATTTTTAAGCCTTTGATTTTCAATGATAATTCCTTTCATGTCATTCTGTAGGTTTTCCGTAATGGATTCGAAAGCTTTCAAATTATTCTTCAAATCAGCAACTTCTCTCATGAGCTCCCGAACACTTTTTTCTAAAGACATTCTAATGATTGTTTCTTGGTTTAACAGTTGCTGCAGAACATCCACACGTTTTGTAGAAGCTGTTGTTATGTCCTTTCCGTCATGGGATTTGTCTGGTAAAATTGACAGACCATTTATATGGATACACGCAAAAGAAATCAACTGAAAACAAAGAAAGTTTTGTCTCATGTTGAATAGATTAGGTGTATTGATAGGAATTAGAGAAAAGTATAATACTCAAACTACGGCTGTCTTCTATTTATATCAGGTTTGTTGGGAGGGAACGTCTATTGCCAAGAATAAAACTTTACGCGGATTATTTGTACTGCATTCAAATCTTTATCTTCATTTCATTGCAAGAACAGTGTAGTTTTTATAAGTTTTTAACTGATTTTAAAATAGATAATCTCTGCACTAAATAAATATTTTTAATCATGTTTTACCGACCTGTATTTGCTGTAATGAACCGAATTCTTTTCAAAGTTTGAATCAATTATGTTGTTCGTGCGTTAAAAGTAATTATGATAAACCTAATTAACTTCATTTTATGCCTATCAAGCTTAACAAACTAGAAAGAATTTCCAACTAACCTTGTCTAGTTTATCACGAGTTCTAAAAATACACATAACATAGGATTGCAATCTGCCGTAATGTTTAGTAAGAATATTGAAAACTATTCTTACGTGTAACAGCAAGTAAAATTATTTTAGAGCCCTTGAATATAATGAAGTATATATGAGTTTCATTATACATGTACATCATGAATTCCTAATCTTGTAACCTTCATTAATGATACTTATTAATAACCAAAGATGTCCTTTCTTTGCTCAATGTACAAGAAATACTTGTGAATCAGGTGCAAGCAATCAGTATATTGCTTATCTATAAATATTTTTTTTTAAAAATAAAAACAGTTAACAATAAGAATTTTTGTTTAACAATTTCAATGTGTTTAAAAAAAAACAATCCACAGTTAGATTTTGCTTATCCATAATAATGTGTTAAAAATAAAATCAAGAACACTTTACATTAGATATTGTTTTATCTTTATCAATGTGTAAAAAATTTCTAACAATAGTTTAACATTAGTAAGATACACAACAGATTATTATATATTGCATAGAAATTTATTTTTGAGGTACACTTAGCCATGATCATGATTTGAGTATAAATACAACTACATGTACAAGTAAGTTCTTTATAATAGAATCACTTAAAGTACAAACCAAGCAGTATAGAGATCTGCTTTTCTTTGAAACATATAGTTATGCATTACCTGACAAATGTCCACAAAAAAAACTCCGTTTGCATTCCTAGTTTCATTATGTATTTCTAAAACATTCCTTTGATTAACATAATTTGTCTATTTTTTTGGTAATATTAATCTTTAAGACTAAATATTGTTTTGTCTCTTATATAAAAAAGAAAAAAAATCAATATACAATCCTATTATACTAAGGATTGAAACTTCCCATAACCAAACGTAGCTTTAAGACAAACAAGAGATACACTGGGTAATTTTATATTGAATATCTGTGGCATCAGATATACAAACTCGTTGAAAAGGTAAGCTGTTTTCTATGAAAGGGAGGGTCGACTGAAAAATATCAATCTCCACACTCTTGTACATCTATTGCCTTTTACCCTTTCTTTCTTTCTAAATGAATGGCATATTTTTTTTTATCTTTTACTGAACTTAAATAATAAATAAAGAATATTAGAATATTATCCTCTCAGTACAAACAAAGAAAATTAAACTACAGAAGCTTTGATCACAATATTTAATAAAATATCAATAGAATATTTAAAACAAATTGTACTGCGCGGAATGCCACATGAAATCAAATATTATTTGGAGATTTACATATTAAAACATGTACGTTCAGTTAAGGAAAGTATATTTTTAAAAAAATGCCATTCATAAAATCATGATGCAAAAATGATCAGAGTTTTCTATACTTGCACGATACACGGAACAAATTCCCAGACTGCTGTTGATAAGATTTGTCGTTCTTGGGACAGAGTTCATCACTTTTTATAAGTCTTGTATTTAAAATGTTAAATGAAATGATAAAAAAAAAAATGCCAATGTTCTAGCATTTGTTTTCGTACGCATTCGAAAAAAAACGAGGGGTTATTTAATCTCATTCGTCTGTAAATCTGTACGTCTGACATTTTGATTGAATTTCCTTTTAGTACTACACGTATTAGCATATAAGAGTATGAGATGTGTTCTTATTTATGACCTTGAAGTTTGCTAAGAGTTACAATGTCTCTCCCTTTATTTTTAATCAATTTTAAAAATGAATTTTAAAAACTTTGCTGAAAATAATTGTGTTCAATTGTCATTCTGTTTTTAGTGTTTCAATGCCTCTTTCCACCACCGTATTTATTGATATTCATTTTATTTGAAATTTAAAAAAGTATTTTAGTTTGGTGTACCACATGTTATGATATCGGATATTATTTAAATTAATATATAGAAACGTACACTTCTTATTTGAATCAAATGATAAATATTGCCATATATGTAGCAATGTTGCTAAAAATGGGAGACTTTACGTATGCATTTCACAGAACAACAAATATTTGTACTATGTAATAATAAGATTTGTCGTTCTTGTAACACTGTTCATCACTATTGATTACATTATTTAAATGTTATCACATGAATTTCCAAATTTATGCTTGTTATCTTTCCTTCTGTTAAGAACTTGTCTACATCATATCATTATTTATTATCCAGAGATTGCAAATTCAAGACAATGCGTTTCTTAACCAAAGGTAGACGTAGTGTACAGCCTTTTTTGTTTAACAACCAATACATGAACATTCAGTATAAGCAGAATTGTTAGAGAGGATTTTGGCATTATTAGCGAGAGTTCCGAGGTCGCTAAAATTGAGTATAGCTAATAAAAAATTGCGTTTTATTTGTAATAGCGTTTTAGTGAGCATTTTATAATCGCTAAAAGTACATCTCACTAAAAATAAAATACGAATTTTTAAGGACAAATCACTAAAATTCCGTCTCGCTAAAATTTCTAATTATACGGTATCTGATGAACATAAGAGTGTCCATGATCTTTTTTATGTCGTATATGTGTATGCATCTATGAATGCATCTATTAATGACAAAATTTGACATTTTCCATGAATATTACATCACTTACAAATCATTTTAATGCATTTTTAGAGAAGTTGTAAATCAACCATTACAGTATTTCATTTTACTGATTTGTGAATTCTTAACGCATCACGTTAATTTCAGTAATTTTAAACCGAGATGTATTGCTACAAACAGTACGGTATTTAAATCTGGATACGACATAGTCCAGACTTTTCACTACTTTTTCTAATAATGATATCCAAAATATTTTTATATAACTAGGTGGGATTTCATAACAGTATTCCAGGGTCTCATGTTAAAGTCACAAACATCTCTACTTTTGAAGCTATGAAGTCCTAAAACTCAGAATCCCATGGGAGAATGGTGGAATTTTTAGTCCCACCAACTATCCCACCTTTCTCACATGGGAGAAAAATATCAGATGGGATATTTTCTTCTAGAGGATTTTTTTTTCTCCCATATTTGTTCAAATTGGATAAATCCCACGGATATTGACAATGAATAAATTTCTCCAATACATTGTTATAGTTGGAATAACGTCTATATATAATGATGAGAAATTTGTCGTAATTAATGGGACATATTCCATGTTTTACAATGTATGGGAGAAATTGTGTTATTGTCAATATCTGTGGGATTTATCCCATTTGGACAAATTTGTGGGAGAAAAAATCCTAATGGGAGACAATTTCCCATCTGACATTTTTTAACCCATGGAAGAATGGTGGGATAGTTGGTGGGATTAAATTTCATATCCTCAAAAGTAGATATGTTTGTGAGTTCAACATAAAACCCTGAGACACTGTTAAGAAATCCCACCAAGAGATATAAAAATATTTTGAATATTACAAACAGAAATGGTAGTAAAAAGTCTGGACTATGTCATGTCCAGAGATCCACTGTAAATATCGTACTGTTTACTGTGTGCGTTTTGATACATGTTCGTCATGAGCTCTGTATGCACAGGAATATATTCCATTGATCAAAGAGGAAATATTTAAAGTAAACTGCATGTTTTAAGGATAAACAAAACCTATACCTTAGTTTTTCCTTAATTGATAATATTAACTGTACTAATTTCCATCTTGTCCTAAAATGTCCCGTTGTCGTTTAATTAGAATGGGGAAAGTACTGTTTGTGTACTAAAAAAGTGGGATGAACATTTTTAGCGTTTAGTGCGAACATCGATGCCCCAAGTTATGAATACTGTTAAATCAATTATCAATAGTATATATGGTGCGTTAGTCTGAAGCGCTAAAAATTCATAAATAGACATTCAAACAACTCAATACCTAGCCATTGCGCTAAATTTTTAATGCGCCAGTTACATTGTAAAGTACATGTAAACATTCAGTATATGAACTGTATTATCCTAAATAAAAATTACTTCTTAATCATATACATGTTATATTAATGTTCATAAATTCTTAAGAATATAACCAAATATATTTAAAAATAAAATCGTGTTAAATAGACTATTTTGGCAGTGTGAGATAAAAGCAAATTGGTTTCCTTGTCATAGAAGAACAATCTCGAAAATAACTGTTTTTCTTACAATGGAGTATTCCTTCATAATAATTTCAAACATTTTATCAGTTCATGATGATTAAAAATAATCACATTTTGCAGGCAGATTCTTCGGATGAGACCATATAAACCGAAGTCTAGTGTCGCAGTGGATGCTGGTTCGAACGAAATCCATCACTGCTTAATGGCCTTGAGAACTGAGTATAGTAGTTCAAATCTTACAGCTTTCAAGCGGCACGTATTGGCGAATCCATTTAATTTAACAATTCACGGCAAAGGCGTAAAAACAACAAACAAACATATATATTTGGCAAGCAGTGCTTTCTTTACCTCATACATAAACATATCATTTTAATATATGTAATTTTAAGGCATTAAATATTTGAAAAAAATCGTTTATTCATCTTTTAATATTTTTTATGATTTATTCACAAAAAAATGTGTTTGTTCAACATCCCTTTCGAAAAAAAATTCTCATATTAAGATACCAACACTTACTGCAAAGATTAGACCCATACTTTGCACCTGCGGGAATTTCGCAGTGAGGAATCATTTTTGTTCCACCAACTACTGCAACAC